CCCCCCCCTACCCCTCCCACCCCCCCTCTTTCCTCTCCTTTCCCCTCCCTCCCTTTCTCTCGCCTACATGCTGTCTCCGGACCAAGTTTGCTTTCTTAATCTCCTATTTAAGAGAAACGGTCAGCAGTTTGGTACACATTAGAATATTATTATGACGGATTAACTTACATTACACATATTAATCGGATTTTCAATTTCTTCGTAAGCAAAAATGGACTAAATAAAATTCAACGAATCCCCAATTATTAAAAAAGAACCTTAAAACAAATAGCCTGGAAAAATAGCATCAAATACCACTAAAAACCCATTACTTTTGGAGTTGGACTTGACAGTTGGGGAGCAACTCGGGGACTAAAAATAGGACCTTTCTGAGAACACCTGTTTCGCCTCCACTACCCCGGGGAAACTTCAACGGGCGAGTGTAAAACAAGCCTTGAAGTGATTTTCGAGTCGGTATATAAACCCCCGAGGAAAACTTTCGCATTGAAATAAGCAAGACACTTGGGACGGTCCAGGACACACCCCCATGCGAGCGCCGGTAGGTTCGTGAGGGCGAAGTTTAGGCGAATTACAGCTAAATTACGTATTTTGGGTCACGTTTGGGGTCTCACTGGGGCTTAATAATGTACTAGGGTGGTTCTTAAAGCACGGATATTTGCAGAACTTGGACGAATGGGAGGCTATACTTACAAAGGGCGGACGAGCGTACGTGCTGCTTCCTCTCGGGTTGGACTGCGAGTGAGAGAGTGAGTAGGGCGCTTACTCCACCTCTCGGATCGTCGACTTTCTCCAGAGGGGAGGTCGTTCCAAGTGTCATTACTCTCGATCGAATTAACCCCTTTTATACTCTCTAATTTGGGGATTTATGGTATGCATCGGATCCTAATTTTCAAGAGGTATCTACTGATGTATTATATTCTTTCCGAAAGAGTGTTACGGCAGTGCATAGTGCATTTTGAGAGGGTACTCCCCCGCGCGATAAGCCGCAATGGCTCGTCCCACCCCACCCGGACAAACGTATCGCCTTATATGGTCATAGCGCAAAACTCGGCCGCTGATTGGTCGAGCCGAGCGTTGAATGCGAGGCGGGAAGACGAGAGCCGCGCCGCGTCATCCCCTTTCGTTCCATTTCAGAATATTTCGTCCTCCTCGACCGAATATATGCCCGTAAATCATTGCCGCCGCCTCATTTTCCGAATTAGTCAACATTTCATGCTAGCCAATGATTAAAGTGTTTTATTCTGACGCTTTGTAGACCCCGAAGGTGCGTACTTTCCGCCTCAGCAAGAGAAATTTCACACTGCAAAGCCAGAAATGAAACGAAACGAGAACAATTTTTTAAGCGAGGGTGCTGGATTCAGGGCTGCCAACCGCGCCCGGACCGACATGGAGGCTTTTTAAGCTTTTAGGAAGAACACTAATGCGAAAAAATCCTTGACGTTGCTTTATTCGGATGCGAAAACGGCCGCAGTCTAGGGTTAGAGAGGGTCCTACGCTATATAAGTGGATCGGCGGCCTCCACGCGATCCTAACGCCTGTCTTACGTCTAAAGTGACAGGCATGCCGGCAAACTGAGAAATGTTCTCGATATATCCTTCTCTAACTTATTTTACCCCAGTTTTTAGCCACAGGGGGTTAATAATTAGATAGAAAAGCAACCCATAACTTTTTCTTGGTCGGGGCGGTGTCAAGTGGGTAAGCTTGACAGGAAAAGAGGCTAGATTACTGTACATGTCCATATTTGACATTTCCTGAAGCTCTCTCTCTCCCTCTCTCCTCTCTCGCTCTCTCTCCACTCACACATTTCGTCTATCCTACTTAAATACTTATAAACGAAATGATTCAACAGCAGAGGACGAGGGAGTGATGTTCGACGTGGCAAAAAAAGTGAATATGTCTGAGTATAGTGTGTGTGAGTCTAGTATGATTCAGAAAACGCTAAAACGACAGAAGAAGTTTTTTTGGGGGTGAAGTCTAACTGAGATCTCAAAGATTATTTTCTCTCGTGTGTATCGATATAATCTAGTATGGGAGGCATGATTTTATCGAACCACTTTTCTCCTAGAACAATGTCGGTGTGACGTTCTGAAAGATCTTTTTTTTACAGATGTTTTATGAACTGCTGTAACCATATATGAACGAAGCATGTAAGGCCCAACGTTATATCGGGGTTTTCTCTGTTGAATAAAAAAAAAAGAAATGTTTCTAGATAATCTATCAATCATTTCTGTGGCGCAATTGTGCAGAGGCGGGATCGTGCTAGCAACACCCATAGCAACCGAATGGCAACCTACAGTGACATATTAATTAAAACGCACACGAGGTCACATGGTCCATGGTCCATACCACAAAGACCCATTTTAGGCCCACATTTAGAGGGAGAAGGTCATGGTAGGGAACTTACTTATTCATCAGTTTCGTCTCTCGATATTTGGGGGACTCGAGAGAAGGGGGGGGGGAGAATTGAAAGATTTACGGTTAAATAGACTCGGAGTAAGTAGAGAGAGAGAGAGAGAGAGAGAGAGAGAGAGAGAGAGAGAGAGAGAGATGAGAGAGGAGAGAGAGAGAGAGAGAGAGAGAGAGAGGAGAGAGAGAGAGAGGAGAGAGAGAGAGGAGAGGGAGAGAGAGAGAGAGGAGAGAGAGAGGGAGAGAGGAGAGAGAGAGAGAGAGAGAGAGAGAGAGAGAGAGAGAGAGAGAGAGAGAGAGAGAGAGAGAGAGAGAGAGAGAGAGAGAGAGAGAGAGAGAGAGAGAGAGAGAGAGAGATTCGCAGTAAAGAGGTTTGCAGGGAGTGGCAGTTTCATGAGGTTGTGAATTTGTTTGTTTGTTCGGGTCTAGCGGTTCTACAACGAAGGCGGTTGCTCGGATCTGTGCGTTATGGGGGAGGATGCCTCTCGCCGCGGCCATCAGCTGATCACATGACACTTGGGGGCGAGGGAGAGGGAGAGGGAGACGGAGGGAGGAAGGGGAGAGAGAGAGACAGAGAGAACAGAGAGAAGAAAAAAGAGAAAGAGGAAACTAAGAAAAGGAGAGAGAGAGCTAGAGAGAAAGAGAGAGAGAGAGAGAGAGAGAGAGAGAGAGAGAGAGAGAGAGAGAGAGAGAGAGAGAGAGAGAGAGAGAGAGAGAGGCAGGCAGGCGAAAACAGACAGACAGGCAGACAGACTAAGCCAGAAAGACAGACATAGACATACAAATGAATAACACAAAGAACATCTGGATAGCGACATAACTTAGAGAGAGAAAAAAAAAGACCTTCAACGACTGTGACGCCCTTGCATGAGTATCGGCAAGCATGAACCACAATCGCTTTTAATGCTCTCATATGCTGTGTACTTTTCGCCACACACTCTCTCTCCCTCCCCCCCCCCCCCTTGTCTCTGTGGCGCAAGGTCTGTCGAGCTGTCGTGTGTGTTACAGACAGACAGGCTGAGCGAAAGGATATGAACTTGGTGCATCCGGGGAACACACTCACACGCACGCACACAGCACACACACACACACACACACACAGTGAAACCGCCGTTTGTCCTATTATATTATCACAATGCATTAGAGTTTAAACCATGTCGTGTTTCGTTAGTGTCAAAATACACGTGATTAAAATATACCTTGTTTTATAACGACCGTCACAACAGGACGGAATTAAACAACATAGTTTATTGTAGCCTCATACAGCAAGGCTAACATGCCATTCAACTAAGTGTCACAGTACGCCACACTGAACTACACTCTAGTCTATTACACTGTCACAACACAGATTAATATACCAGAGCGCAATCTAGTAGTTATGATAGTAGAGGCTGTGATATCTCTTTGTCGAGCTGTAATATATTTAACCTAGGCGGGAACAGACCACGAATTTAGGTTATATTGACTGTTTCGCTGATCGTGAAAATTGAAGTCTTTAGATCTGGATTTTCATCGGAGTTGTGGTTGTTCATGACTTCGTAATCATGGGTAGGTTCAGAGATAAGAACTTTGTCGCCGGACTCACTCACTCACTCACTCACTCTCTCTCTCTCTCTTTATGTGTGTGTGCCTGGCTCTCTCTCTCATCTCTCTCTCTCTCTCTCTCTCCTCTCTCTCTCTCTCTCTCTCTCTCTCTCTCTCTCTCTCTCTCTCTCTCTCTCTCTCTCTCTCTCTCTCTCTCTCTCTCTCTCTCTCTCTCTCTCTCTCTCTCTCTCTCTCTCTCTCTCTCTCTCTCTCTCTCTCCTGATGAGCGTTTATATTTTGCTGTTATGATAGTATAGCAAATATAATGTCTAACAGATTGTTTGATATATGCGATATCTATATCAGTATAGCTATCTATCTACACACACGCACACACACACACACACACACACACACACACACACACACACACACACACACACACACCCACACACACACACATATATAATATATATATATATATATATATATTATATATATATATATATATACATATACATACATATGATACATGATAAAGCTGCATTCCTCAATAATAGTAGAACTCGCGTCGGCAACATCAGTAGAGGTGCCTTGACCTTAATTTTGTCCCATATAAGACCACATGGCGCGACTGTATCTGTTTCCTGTCACTTATTCTTACAATTCTGGTTTTCTGGAGATTCTGGGAACGCTTTCTTATCTTATTTTCTTATTGTGATTTGTCTTTTTTTCGTCCAGCAGTAGAAATGTTTAGTTATATTGAAAGAATGGTCTGTTGATCAGGAATGAAAGTGTTGCCAATTTTCGCTTTATGGGTATTTTTCTCGAATTTAAATTTGAAGAATTTATATTACACGAAATGAGATGGTAGTTCTAAAGTTCTATAATGATTTCGACGGGACATCACGAAGGTAGACCTGGGTATATTTGGCTTGGGTATTGGGGTATCTCGACCTCTTGGCACGTACCGGCCAGAGACATAGCGGCGGCAACACGGCAAAGGTTTCTACAATCTGCAAATACGTGAATATAAACGTATTAATTTCTTTATATAGGCACTAAATACA